TATATGCATATAAAGTGTGATCTTCTTGGCATGTTTTTCTAACAACACATGTCACGTAAGTGTGTCACGTGGTGTATATGTACCAAGTGACATATGACTATAATAGATCATTTTAATCCTATAAATCATAACATAATATCACTTTTGTCCTTAAAATTGTAACTCAGTGTCACTTTAGTCCCTAAAATTTTAACTTGTTAGTTTATTCCCCAAATGTTATTATAATTTTATTTTAATCAAGTAATTATGACTTGAATATTTTAAAAATAAAGTGGATCATTAAATTAATATTGTAAATAAGATGATAAATATATTTAAATCATATTAAAAATATGGTATCAACCCCCAATATATAAAACACAAATGACTATATTGTGCATAGGGGTGTTCACGATTCAGGTTGGATTTGAGAAAAAATCCAATTTGAACCAATTAAGTTTAATTGGTTTGAATTGGTTGGGATTTCATAATTTTTTTTTTGCTTAACCCAAACTGAACTAATCTGATGTTGATTGGGTTGACTCGATTCAGGTCATTAGATATCTAATGAATTTTCTCAAAAAATTAAATTATTTTTTCTCTCAAAGTAAAAAGATTTTCCAACATTAATTAAATTAATATATTGTCAAAAATTAACTAAATTGATAGATTTGCAATATAGTTTCTCTTGGTTTCTTTTCTTATTTTAGTTAAAGATTTTAAATGCACTACAATAAGTGAAAATGATACTCAATATATTGTAATATAAATTTTCTTGATTTCTTAAGTATTTGAAAAAAAAATGGAAAAATCTACATGTTGTAACACAAAACGTCTTCAAAATAATCCAAAATGATACATATCAATTATTAACCAAATAAAAAATATAAATTAATTGATTTGGTTCAGCTTGGTTTGGATTTTGAATGTGTAAATTTGATACCCAAATCAATCAACATTGGGTTTAATTAGTTTGATTTGGGTTGGTATTGAACAAAAACAAATCCAAATCAATTTAATTGGTTCAGTTCAGATTGACAAGTTCATCAAATTGATCCGATCCGATGAACATCCCTAATTGTGCAATAATGTTTTTTGAAGACTTTTCTTCGGTGAGAAGATTTTTAGAGGTTCTTTTAGTTTCATATTTAATTCAATTTTTAGGAGACTATATTGAGTTACATTTTCATAGACTAAATTGACATCATATTAAAATTTCAAGGATTAAAATGATATTATGTTATAGTCATATGCCACGTGATACACTCACATGACACGTGTCACTCCATATATGTACCAAATGTCATATATTTGACCATTTACTCAAAATAAAACTTGTTAAACTTAAGGAATCAAATGAAAACCTAAAATAAAAATGAGGAGTAAACACGCAAAGATGGTAAAGGTGATTGATAAGTCCTTGAAACATTTTTTGTGCCATCTGGATCCCTAAATTTTAACTTTAATATGCAAGTTAGTCCTTCTATTATATTCAATTACTAACTTTGTTAATTTCATGAACAATCAACAATTAATTGTCTAGTTGGCACCTATTCTCTCTTCTCATCACCTAATATGGAACATAATACAAGGTTTTGGTACTTTCCAATCAGCAACAAACACTTTGTCATCTTTAAATATCTTGGTGATGTGTGCTTTAGTTAAAATAAAAGGTTATTGTTGAGTTTCGTAAGATTTTTTATAGTTAGATTTTTATGTCCTAGCCATCCTTAATTTTTTGCTTGTTTTGGCTATATGTTTATGATTATAAACCCTAAAATATTGAATTTGGAGTTTAGCAAAATGAGTCGTTGTTGAAAGATCTTAAGTAAGAATGCGTCAATGGATATTTCGGCTATGTTTAATGAATTGCCAAACTTTTATAGTAAAAGTGAGGAAGAGCTTAGTGGTAATATTGGTCCTCCCTATTATTGTGAAAATAGAGCTTTATGTAATTTGTTGCATTCTAACTCAGGGAGAGAATATGTGTCAATGTGACAATTAATTTAATAATAGAGGATACCGGAAGAACTAACTTATATAATAGAGTTAAAATAAATTTAGAGATCCAAATACCACAAAAAATCTTTCAAGAATCTATCGGCTACTGCTATCATCTTTTAGAGACCAAATTAAATGTTTACTCTTAGGGGGTATTTGGTACGCAGAATGTTTTTACATTCCTGGGACTCTTAGTTTCCCATATTTGGTAGCTATTTAAAAAAAAAAGAGAGATTCCCATGAATATAGTTTCTCGAAATCATTCTTATCCCACTTTTCCATAAAAACATTCCCAAAGGGGTTAGGAATCTAACTTTCTCAAGTTAGGGGGAAAGTTTTATGTATATAAAAAGATTACTGTATTTCTTTTTTAAAACAAAAAATATATCTATCCTTTTATTTCTGTTTCTCCCTCTCACTCTCACTCCCCCTCTCTTTTCCTCTCTCCTTCTCCCTCCTCTCTTTCTATTTCTCTTTCTCGCTCTCTGTCTCTCACACTCTTACTCCCCCTCTCTTCCTCTCTCCCTCTATCTCTCCCCCCGCCCCCTCACTCTCCCCCTCCCATATCTCTATATCTCTCTTGTATCTCATTATTTTTTAATCTTGTTAATTTTAATAATATCATTAAAATTTATTTTGTTTCTGCATTTTAATGATATATGTTAACACTTTTTTGATTTTTTTATATGAATGAAATAAAATAATGTATTTTTATTATTCTCAATTATAATGTGACATTTTTTTTACTTCTGTATTTAAATAATTTTAATAAGTTTTCAACTTTTAAAAATAATTTAATATCATATTTATAATAAGATTTAAGTAAATGAATATGTATAATAAGTTTATTTTGATAAAGAATATTTTTCTAAAAAATATTTATAAACCCAAGAATATATTATTATAACTAAATATGAAAATATTTAATTCCTAAAAATCATATATAAATATTTCCAAGAACTTCTATAAATAACTAAACATATTTTAGTTATTCTTGAGAATCATAATTTTTAAGAATTGTAATTTTCAAGAATCATGATTTTTGGATATGAAAAAACTTCACTCCTACTAAACATTCTCTAAAAAGAAAAAATACCTAAAGAGTTATAATAAATTAAAAAGAGCGAAATAGAAAATAGTTCACAAACATAAAACTTCTCCACAAATCTACTCCAAAGTTTTAACCCTTAAAAATTAGGATCCACACAAATTAAACACACTTGTACACTAAAATTTTAACCCTTAGAAATTACTATCCATATTAGACACACTTGTACACTACTTTTAATCAACCAAACACCACAAAATAGTCCACTTTCTCATGATTTCTTTCTTTTCTTTCCTCTACACTACACTTATACCAAACCAAACAGAAATATAATACTTCCCCTTATTTTTCAAAATTAAAGTTATCTTGTTATTATCATATATAACAAATTTATTAATTTTAATAATAATTTCTTGAAAAGCTATGCAAATAATTTTAAAACTTTTACATTAAAATTAATCTCAATTTAATAAACGTCTATAATTTTTTTTTCTCTTCTATCATTTATTTATTTATTATTATTTCGTCTCTCTTTGATTTCCGTAATAAAGCGTACGTTTACGATAGCTGTTTTGGAAAATGGTACGAATGAAGTGTTGGTCCTTGCTAGTAAAAACAAAACCTTGGTGTTATACTAATATTCATTATATATTATTAATTCTAAAGTGGTGACATTAAAATTGTTGAAGAAATAAGAGAAATTTTTGTATTGTAATTTTCTTTACTTTATTGAAAGGGACGAAAGCAAAATGAAGGCAATGATGACGAATATCACACGCTGATATTACTGTGTGTGTTTGGCCCCAACTGGTGCTATCTTCATTCTCCAGTTTAGTCAGAAAAACAGAATAAACCAAAATAAGAAGGCTGCCTTTACATCATTCCTCTCGTTTTTTTATAAAATTAAAGCTGTTTCCAATTTCTCTATTTTTGGCGACTAAATAATTATTAACTTTTTTTTTTTTTAAGTTATCACATGAACACAAAGGTGAACAGAGTTAAGAATTTTAAGGTACTATGTAAAAAGCTTATAAATTTAAGCTTTGATACTGGTATTGTAATTTTTTCTTCTAATAAAAATATATAATAATTTCATCAAGAAGTTAAAAAAAAAGTTATTAAAAGGAATATTTATTATGTAAAAATATAACTAGTTTAATATTTACATTTTAAGTACTACCTTCATTTTTCTTATCTAGTTGTTTAGAATGCGGGGTGATTACGATTCTGGTCAATCCCATAATCAAACTTTAGGAAAAAAAATTAAATTGTCACTTAATTAAAATTTATTTATAAATAATTATTACAAAATTTAATAATTTCATCATATAATAGATGAAAATATTAAAAACTTCAAAATATTCTAATTAAATTCTAAATTGAAATTATGTAATTTTAATATTTTAAATTTAATATAATGAATTAAACATTTCAAATATCATTATAGATAGTATGGATTTAGTCTCTATTTAAAATTTAACATTTTTTTTTATTAACATGATCCTTATCGAGGGTGAATGGTGACATATAAATGGTGTGCCGTTCATAGATAGCATGACACTTGATGTGTTGAATGCATAAACATTGATATATCGTTAATGACGTGATCTATAAATTAAAAGAAATTAAAATATTAAATTTGCAGTCAAGTTATAACATATGATTCACACTTAGCTCAATATCATCATCTACCACATCATTATATTATGTCATAATTGAGGGTTAAATACAATTTTGGGTGGGAGGGGTAATGAAAACCAAAAAAATAGTATATAGTCTCAAATTTTTGAAATTACTATATGTTCGTAATCTGGTATGATTTGTATAGGACGTTATTCAACTTTTAAATTTATAAAAATAATCAATTACACCTAATTACGTATTAGTAAAAATTAATGATAAGCGTGATGATATGAGAGCACACAATAATTTAAGCTGTCTCTCACCGAACCTAACCAAAAGTAAATCAGATTTTGTTGTAAGGAAGCCATTTACTGCGAACTGTTGAAACTAAACAACAAAACACGTTTTATCTTCTTTTCTTAGGTGACCAAATGAAAGTGATTTGAACAGGAACAGGAAGTGACTGCTATACTGTCCTGCAGTTTTGATGAAATTTCAAAGCCACCAGGATGGCCAGTGATCCAAAGCATGAAAAGATGAACAACCTATGCACACAGCTAGCAGTTGCAGTGAGAAGCATTCAATGGAGCTATGGGATTTTCTGGGCACCTTCAACCACTCAAGAAAGGTACAAACACACCCATCTAAGTGTTTTCTTTGCTACCTCTTTTCCCCAACCTTCACATCTTGGCTACCTCTTGAATCCTCACACTTGGAAAAAAACTCTCTTGTCTATAGTCTATAGTAGTTTTATTTGATTTGGACAAATTTTTCTCTTGTAAAATATATATATGACGCTGAAAGTAATTTTGTCTGATTTTAACAAGATTGTCTCTGATAAAAAAAGTATATATATGATGTCATACTAAATGCATAAATAAATAAAAACCTTGAGTCCCAAATTTAGATAAGTGAAAAACTAGAGTGGAACAAAGCAATAAAGAGAAAGATGTGGTGAAGTGAAACTAAGATAATGGTTTTGTTGTGTGTGATTAATTATGTGGATGAGGAATGGATAATAATAGGTCATGCCACATAATCTTGATACTTAACCTACCCTATTATGTTGTGGTTTTGTGTGACAGGGTGCTGGAGTGGAGGGATGGCTACTATAATGGGGACATTAAGACAAGAAAAACAGTCCAAAGCATGGAATTGGAAATGAAGGCAGATAAAATAGGGGTTCAGAGGAGTGAGCAACTGAAGGAACTGTACAAGTTTCTTCTTGCAGGTGAATCTGACCCTCAAGCCAAAAGGCCTTCTGCTGCATTAGCTCCAGAGGACCTCTCAGATTTGGAGTGGTATTACTTGGTTTGCATGTCCTTTCTTTTCACTCACAACCAAAGGTATCATACCATGTTCTCACCTTGTTGATTAAACACAAATTCTTCCAAGACAGTTCATTCATTCTCTACAAGTTAAATGTGTTCTTCAGAATTTATTTACTAAAACTCTTGATTTTCGGTATAAAAACTTGAGAAAACTCTTCTAAACTTGGATCTAGAAAGTATTTTAGAATGGTCTTGTTTACATTTTTGTGGCATTTTTGTCTTCTTTGGATTTGGTCTCTCATGATGGAAGATGCTTTTTTGTTTGGTATTCATGTAGTTTGCCTGGAAGAGCAGTGGAAATTGGTGAGACAGTGTGGCTGTGCAATGCTCAACATGCGGAAAGCAAAGTCTTCTCTCGTTCTTTGCTAGCAAAGGTTGGATTTTAGTCATGAATTTGTTTAACGTTTTTTAATTAAATGGTAGTACAAGTACAGTATATTCTATGCTTATGATCCACATGTTTAAAATCTAATGATGTATTCTACCTGTAATGGATAATGGTGAATGGTCCCATAACAGCTGTAATCAATTAGCTCCCTCAAAACTTCTAATACTACCTTCGTTTCTTTGTATAAGATAATTAAAAATAATTTATATTTAAAAAATAATAATTATTTTAATTTAAGACATTGAATTCAGTTATAATTTTATTTTAAAATTATCTTTAATACTTTTCAAACTAATTATTATTTTTTACTTAATTAACTAATGTTGGAAAACTTGCTACTCTTCTTTTTCCAATCCTAGTTAGAGAGAAAGATAGTTTATTTCATCAATCTTTAGCATTGGTTATTTTTCTTCTTAAATATTTTAATTAATTAAAAGTATTTCTTAAAATATATTACGAAAGACAATAAAAAAGTAATCTTATAAAAATGACAAAATAAAATTCTTTAACATAAGAATAAAGATAATATTATTTTTTGAATAATCATATGCAAATTTGATATTATAAATTTAATTTTAATTAAAATTGAATTAAAATTAAAGTTATTTATATTTTAAAAAATGGATGAAAATAAGTTTAGATAAAATTAAGTATTATTATTATTATTTTGTGCTAAATTACATTTTTAGTGTTCTATTTTTATCAATATGCAATTTTAGTTTAAAATACAACATAGTGTCATATTTTTAAGATTAAATTGTAATTTTGATTATTTTATAATATTAAATTCATAATTTTGGTCTCTCATTTTTTAATTTCATAATTTTAATCCCTCAATTTTATAAATTCGCTTAAGTTAAATTACATTTTTAGTTTTCATTTTCATCCCATTTTAAATTTATTTTATCACTTCTGAAATAAAAATTAGAATTAAAAGTGAATTTTAATCTAAATATTATTAAATATTAATTATCATGTCATTGTGAAATTATGCTAATATTATAATTTCAATAATTAATGGACGAATATTAAATTAAGAGACTAAAATTATGAATTTGATAAAATTAGGGGGTTAAAATTGTAAAATTAAAAATAAAAAAAATCAAAATTGTGGATTTGATGCTATAGGAAGACCAGAAGTACAATTTAATTTATTTTAAAAATAAAAAAATTTGATCATATCATTATAAAAATTACGTCACTCAAGTAATGATAAGTCTGGATAAATATTAAAATTTAACGATTAGTAAATGTCAAATTAGTATAATCAAAATTTTATATTTTTAAAATTAAGAAGATTAAATATTTTTATTTTAAAATAAGAAATCAAAATTATATATCAATAAAAATAAAAAATAAGAGTGTAATCTAATGTAAATTTTTAACTCTATTTAAAAGTTACATTTTTCTCTTCACATTTAGTTAAAAGAAAACTAATTTTTATTTGTTAAAATAATATTTTTTCTATCTTTTGTAAAATCACATTTTTTGACTTTTAGATGTGGATTTGATCTCACTCTTCAAAATCATAAAACAGTGAACTCGATCACATTCACATCCTCATTGGGCATGCAATGCAAGTGAGGGAAAGGAAACACACTCGACTCGAACTTCTGTAATAAAAAATGGATGAATTCAATAGTACTATATGTATGATGTAAACATATAAATGTTTTATTTAACATATATTACAATATTATGTATGCATGGTATCATAACAATGCTCAGCCTTTATCGCTTACCCGTGCATCATATATATATATATATATAGGGAGTATATCAAGTAAGAAGGAATTTATTATGAGAGATGAGAGGGTTAAAATATAACTTTTTAATTAATTTTCTGTTACTTGATTAATCAAAAAGTTATATTTTAACCCTCTCATCTTTCATAATAAATTCCTTCTCACTTGATATGCTCCCTATATATATCATATGATGTAGTTACATAGTTGATGTTTTTCTTAAGTGTTATGTAAGGAAAACTGATTTTCTTTCACAACTTTTTTGATCTGGACATGGACGTTAATTGCTGTACCCAGAGTGCGTCTATTCAGGTATGACATTCTCCGTAGAGATTACAATTTTTTTTACAACCGTTTTGTATTTCTTTTTTTTCATTTTTTTTTTCATAAGAGGTATAAATAGTTACTGCATGTCTAAAATGATACTTCCAATCACAATTTTATGTCCTAGGAAGCAAAACTTTTCTATAAAACTTGGAACCGTGGTTTCGGATTTTCTATGTACATAAATGTTACAGTTCTATATAAATTTCAGAGATCATCTTGAAGATCACCTATGATTGATTAAATAATTCTAGGCTAAGGAGTGGTTACTTGCATTGTGGAGGTGGTAAGCAAGGTCATAGGTCCGACTCGTGTATGGAAAAACACGTAGTTGGAGGAAAAAGTGAACAATCAAATTCTGTAATAAAAATTAGTCATCAATGAAATTAAGTTATAAAAAAAATACACATAATTAGAAATTGAACACTTAACCATATACTTACCTAATTATCTATCAAATGTGTTAGACTTTGTTAATCTTTTCAAAAAGATGACAAGCATTAAATCGATGCACATCGTAAACTAGTAAATGAAATTAAAATAAAGTAACATTCTTATAGTTTATTAATTGTTTGTAAAGAAAAAAGATTTCTTCTTCTTTAAACTAATGCAAGGATAAACTAATTTCAAAACCAAATTGAAATGTTACTTTGTTAGAATCTTGTTGGTTCTAAAATAAGAAAGAACACAAACAAGAACACACCCTGTGCAAGAGCAAATGAAAAAAATAGAAAAAAGAAAATTCAACAAGAACGTAAAACACAAATGCATGAAAAACGCAATAGCAAATTGAAAGAGGTTGAGAGAATAAAACACAATAAATTTATGTGGTTCAACCAATTTGGCTTATATTCATGGGAGAGAACAAATTCCACTCTCTGAAAATCAGGATCAAGTCTTTACAACAGAGCAATCTCTGGCTCTTCTTAGAAACTCCTTCATCTCTCTAACCTTTCCTTCTCTTCGTATCTACTTCAAGCTCATACTTAGCACTTTACTCTTCACGCTTTGTCTCTCTGTTTTAGAACCAACAAGTGGCGTCGTCTATGGAAAGGAAGAAAGAAAAAGAAATGCTGAATCATGGGAACAACCAAGTACAATATCAAGAATTTTTCGAGGAATAATGACTTTAGGTTATGGAAGATAAAGATGGAAGCTATCTTGGTGCAACAGGGAGTTGCAGGAAGTTCTAGAAGTTTTGAAGGGTGAAGCAAAAATGTTTAGATCATTATCACAGAAAGAGAAGAACGAGATGATTGATAAGGCAAGAAGTGTTATCATCTTGTGTCTTGGTGATAAATCCCTAAGGGAAGTTACAAGAGAAAAGACGACTGTTGCCATGTGGGTCAAATTGAAATATTTATACATGATAAAGTCTTTGGCAAACCGGTTATGTTTGAGGCAACAACTTTACTCTTTCAAGATGACAAAAACAAGAGTGGTTCGAGAACAACTTGGAGATTTTAACATGATTCTTGATGACTTGGTAAACATTGAGGTGAAGCTTCAAGATAAAGATAAAGATAAAGCTTTACTCCTACTCAACTCTATAGAAATCCTTGGAACATTTCAGGGATTCTATTTTCTATGGCAAAGATCAAGCCATTACCTTGGATGAGATTCAAACCTCAATTCAAACTAAGGAGCTTCAAAATAAGAAAGAATTGGAGATAGAGGATAATGGTGAAAGCTTGAACATATCAAAGGAGAAGAGTAAGAAGAAATGACCAAAGGGAAAAAAGTCTACATCAAAATGGAAGAGTAACACAAAGTTTAAGTCTAGATGCTATATTTGTTGTAGGATTGGTCATTAAAAGAGACTATCTTGCAAAAAGGAGGCAAGGAATCCAAAAGCTCTATGGATTCTTTGGATGTCTCTATTGTTTTAGATGGTTATGAGAATGCATAAAGCGTTAGTGGCATCAACATTAGAAACACAAAGAAATTGGGTTATGGATTTTGGATGCACCTATCACATGTGTCCTGTGAAGGATTTTTTTGAGACTTTGGAACTCAAAGAAAGTGGAGTGGTGCTTCTTGGGAACAAAAAATCTTGCAAGGTGCAACGTATGGGTACTGTTCGTTTGAAAATGTTTGATAACTACGAAATTCTATTGCAAGATGTGAGGTATGTCCCTGAACTTAAGAGGAATCTTCTGTCAATAAACATGTTTGATAGTTTGGGTTATTCTACCAATATTGAACATGGTATGATGAAGATCTTTAATGATGCCTTATTAGTTGCTAAGGGAATTAAAAGGAAGGGTCTATACATTCTTGATGGTTATACTGTTATTGCTCATGCATTTATAGCAAATCAAACTCTACATGATAAAACAAAATTATGGTATTTAAAGCTTGGACATGTTAGTGAAAAAGATTTAGTGGAACTAGAAAAACAAAATCTATTGAATGGTGAAAACTGAATTAACTAGATTTTGTGATTATTTCATATTAGAAAAATCTCATAAGATTAAGTTTGAGATTGGTATGCATGATTCTAGTAGACCCTTTGAGTATGTTCGCTCAAATTTGTGGGATCCTTCAAATATGAAGACTCATGGATGGGGTTCCTATTTTCTCACCACAATTCATGATTTTTCAATAAGAGTATGAATTTATGTTTTGAAAAATAAATTTGAAAGTTGTCAATAATTTAAAGAATTACACATCATGTAGAAAATAAAATAGAAATCAAACTAAAGATTTTAAAGGTTGACAATGACCTAGAGTTTGTTTTAGAGCAATTTAATAAGTTTTGCAGGAAACATAGAATTAAAAGACATAAGACTATAACTCATAATCCTCTATAAAATGGCCTAACTAAAAGAATGAACATGACCATTTTGGAATGCATGAAGTGTATGTTGTTGGGTGCAAGTCTACCTAAGAGTTTTTGAGGTGAAGCTACAAATACTAAAATGTATTTGATAAACAAATATCTATCTTCAACTTTACATTTCAAATCACCTATTGAAAAGTGAAGTGATAAGCCAACAAACTATTCAAATTTGAAGGTTTTTGATGTTCTAGCTTTTGCTCATATCAAGAAAGGAAAACTTGAGGCTTGAATTCTGAAGTGTATCTATATTGGTTATTCAAAGGGTGTGAAGGGTTACAAGTTGTGGAAGGTGGATCCTGGTGATTCAAGATGTTTTATAAGTAGGGATGTCACATTTGATGAAATTAGAATGGGGATGATGTGCGAAAGTATGAAAAAGCAACTTAGAAACAACTAAGGAGAAAACTTAGTTTAAGGTGGAGTCTCCTATTAGTGACTCTAGAAACAGTATTACACCAACAAATGGTGTACAAGTTGGCATTGTATCATTTATTGGTTCAGACTATCAATTGACAAGAGATAGGATTAGGAGGAATATTGTACCTCCTAAGAGATTTGGGTATGCTAACTTTATTTGCTATGTTCTTATTGTGGCTAAAGAGATACAAGACTCAGAACCAAGGAATTTTAAAGAGGCTATGGAGTGTAAGAAAAAACAATATTGATTGCAAGTTGTAAATGAAGAAAAAGAGTCCTTGGATAAATATCAGACTTGGAAGCTTATGGATCTGCTTAAGAATCAAAAGTTAGTTGGATGTAAGTAGATCTTCAAGAAAAAGGAAGGTATTCCAAGTGTGGAGAAGGCAAGGCTTGTGCCAAAGGGGTTTACCCAGGTGGAAGGGATTGACTATAATGAAATATTTTCCCTGTGATAAAATACTGTTCTATAAGAATTTTGATGGAAATTGTAAATAAATATGATATAGAGTTAGAACAATTGAATGTCAAAACAACTTTTCTTCATAAGGACCTTGAGGAGGCTATCTACATGTAGCGACCAGAGGGGTTTGTAGATGATAAGTTTAAGGTCTGTCTCTTGAAAAATCACTTTATGGCTTAAAACAAAGTTTGCATTTGCAGTATAAAAAATTTAATGATTTTCTGTTAAGTTTGGGTTTTTTGAAGAGCAACTATAACAACTGTGTTTACATATTAAAAAGAGGAGAAAAAAGTTTTTTTTGTTATATATGGATGACATTCTGGTAGCAAGCTCTAGCAAGGAAGAGATTGGTATGCTCAAAGGGAAACTAAATTCTGAATTTAAGATGAAAGATCTCAATGTTGCTAAGAGGATACAAGGGATGGATATTGTAAGAAACAAGTTAGAAATGGAATTACTTTTATCTCAACATGGGTACATACAAAAGGTAATGAAGAGGTTTAGAATGCATCAATCTAAACCTGTTAACACTCCTTTGGGTCATCATACAAAGCTCTTTATCACACAAGCTCCTAGCATTGAAGAGGAAAGGAGGGAGATGTGTTCTATTCCATATGCAAGTGGAGTAGGGAGTATCATGTATGGCATGGTTTGTAATAGACCTAATTTAGCTTATGCTATTAGCATTGTTAGTCGATTTATGGCAAGTTTGGGTCAAGCTCATTGGAATGCTTTGAAGTGAGTACTAAGGTATTTGAATGGTTCTCAAAAAATTTGATTTGAGGTATAAGAAGACAGCTCAAGATGGAGAAGCTATTATGGGATATGTTGATGCAGACTTTGCAGGAAATGTGGATACTAGGAAATCTTTATCGCTGTGCGTGTTCACTTTATTTGAAATTGTTGTTAGTTAGAAAAAAAATTTACAACCTGTGGTTGCTTTGTCTACAACACAAGTAGAATACATTGTTCTTATTAAATGAGTGAAGGAAACTTTATGGTTAAAAGGGATGATTGATGGATTGGGGATATCACAAAATTGTGTGACAGTTCATTGTGATAATCAAAGTGCTATACACCTTGCAAATCATGAAGTTTATCATGAGATGACGAAGTACATTAATACGAGGCTTCACTTTATTAGAGATGTGATTGAATATGGAGAAATTCAGATTGAGAAGATTGTATTTGAAGACAATCATGCTAATGTGTTTAAGAAACCTCTTTCGACATCCAAGTTCAAGTGCTACTTGGATCAACTTTGTTTAATGTTCCTTTTGAAGTGGGAAAGCAATACTGTTGTGGTTCTTTTTTGTAGATTTAGAGCCAAGGTAGAAAGTTGTTGATTATGACTTAAAATCTAATGTATCATTTGTATGCTTTGTAAAGTCTTTCGTCTATACAGTCTTATAGGTTTAGTTTATTTCCATTCATCTAATTAGTTCGACTATACATTCAGTCTGTCTCCATTAGTATGATGGATTTAATCTATCTCCATTAGTATGATAGATTTAGTCATTTTTTTTTATAAGATTTAGTCTTAGTGTCTTGGATCCCTATATATATCTGTTTGGGGATCATTCCTAAGTGCAACATAGAGAGAGAAGGCGTGAAGAGCAAAATGCTAAGTGTGAATATGGAGAGCTTGAAAAAGATACGAAGAGAGGAAAGGAGAACTAGTTAAAAAAATCAGGAGGTTTCTGAGAAGAGAAGAGGTTACTCTGTCATAAAAACTTGATCTTGATTTTCTGATATTGGAATCTACTCTCTTCCATAGATGTAGGCCAAATTGGTTGAACCACATAAATTTGTTGTGTTCTCTTTTCTCAATATTCTTGTTTTGTTATTGTGAATTTTTTGCATTTGCATTTTACGTTCTAGTTGAGTTTTCTTGTTTCTACGTTTTTTGTTTGTTCTAGCATAAGGTTATTCTTGTTTGCTTTCTTTCTTGTTTTAGAAACAAATCTCGTGATTGAAACACAGATATTAACATTCATAGTGTGTTAAACCTGTTTTCCAGACCGTGGTGTGTTTTCCCTATCGAGGAGGCGTTATTGAGCTAGGCACAACTGAATTGGTATCATTTGTGTTCTTCCAAAAGCTAGTTCCATTATCTTTTCAATGTTAAACCTATATGAAATTATGCAGCATTATGATATTAGTTAACACTTGTGCTATTTGTTATTATTTATAGGTTACTGAGGATCCTAATCTCATTCAACATGTCAAGGCATGCTTCCTAGAAATCTCAAAGCCAACATGCTCTGACAAATCTTCCTCTGTCCTTGATAAACCAAATGATGACAAATATCCAATATGCACCAAGGGTGATCACAGGATGTTAGACACAATGCCCTTGGAGAACCCATGTTCCCTTGAAGAAAAAATCAAATTTGATCATGACCCCATCAATGAATTACAAGATGAACACAATGAAGATTCCAACATGGATTCTCCCGATGGTTGTGAGCATCCTTACCCTATGGATGAATCCTTGGTTGAGGGCATCAATGGTGTGCCATCTCAAGTTCATTTTGTGAATGATGCCTTAGTCATTGGTGCTCCAGATTCCCTGAGTTCTTGTGATTGCATGTCTGAAGCTTCTGAGAACCAAGGCAAGGCTTCCAAGAGTGTAGGCCAAACTCAAGTGGTGCAACTTCAAGAAGATTGTTATCATCCCAAAAGAAGATCCTTGGATGCTGGAGTTGGTGAAGACTTGTGCTACATAAAAACACTTTGTGCTATTTTGGGGAATTCAGCAACATTTAAACCAAATTCATATGCTGGAAACTCAAATTACAAGTCTAGTTTTGCCAAATGGAAGAAGGGTAGAGTCACTGAAAGGAAGAGGCCAAAGTTGCACCAAAGCATGTTAAAGAAGACTTTGTTTAAGGTCCCTTTTATGCACAGAAGTTGTTCATCTCTCAAGTCACAAAAAGAGAAGGACAGATTGGAATGGACTAGTAAATTGGAAAATGGTGATGGTTTCTTGGGGAATGTTGTCACCGATAAGAAAAGAGAAAATAAAAACTTTCTGGATGTCAAATCTTTGGCTCCATCGTCTATAAGTGAGGTATTTACTTTTCATATGCCAAAATGAATGTTAACATTGGGTAAGAAAAATTACGATTTAATATGATTTTAGTCCTGAAAAATTATGATTTTACTCCTGATAAATAAGGTCATCTTTGCTTTTAGCCTCTTAAAACAATCGTTTTTTATTTAATTTTTCGTCGATGAAAATGTATATGTGGTACTTATTTCCACAAATGAGGGGCCAAAAGTATGAAGGATAAGAATCACATTTCATATTTTTTCATAAACAAGGAACTAAAAGATCATTTATTTTGGAGAGAAAAAAACGTATTTAACCTTTGAAAATTATTTCAATGAGGACAGTTTGTAAATATTCAAATATCTTGCTTAATGTGACTTGCTAAATTTGCAGATGGAGAAGATTTCAATTCTTGGGGACACAATTAAGTACTTGAAAAAGCTTGAAACAAGAGTGGAAGAGCTAGAATCTTACATGGAAGTTGCAGATCCTGAAGCAAGGACCAAAAGAAAATGCCCTGATGTTCTAGAGCAGATGTCAGATAACTATGGTGCCAGAAAGATTTGCATGGGAATGAAACCTTGGATAAACAAGAGGAAGGGTTGTGGTATTGATGAGATAGACACAGAGTTAGAGAGAATTGTTTCTGAAGATGCAAAGGCATTGGATGTGAAAGTCAATGTGAAGGAGCAGGAGGTTCTGATTGAGATGAAATGTCCCTACAGGGAATACATACTGTATGATATCATGGATACCATCAACAACCTACATTTAGATGCTCACACAGTTGAATCATCAACAAGTGATGGTGTTCTCTCATTGACACTTAAATCTAAGGTTTGTCATGCTATTTTTTTTTTCCAGCGTAATGTTTATGAATTATGACCAGTGGTGATTACATAATCCTAGCTTGAAAGGAAGAGAGGAGAAAAGTAATTTAACTTTGTGCTAGGACATCATCAAAATATTCTATTCCGTAGCAGTCATCTAGTTTGAGTAAGGTTTTACATTTTTGGTCTTCTTACTATCATCATTTCACAAATTTAGTCTCCTCATTTTCTTTTTTCGTGAATTTTATTCCTTGCTGTTTTAATCGTGTAATTTTTGCTTGTATGTAACTTAACATCTAATATTTAATAGAAATGTTGACTTGACACTTTACTACATTACCACGATTTAGTTAAATATTAGATGTTAAGTTAATAGATGAATATTCATTGTGAGTTGGCACAAATAGTTAAGGATCTAGTTCAACACTCCCTTTGCTAATTAAAATCCTTTCCACTAAATTTCTTTGGTGGAATTCTGCTAACCTTTAGTTTAGCAAGTTAAGTCCTTAGTTAAATTGGATACTAATGAGTTTTGGTTAATCATTAAGTGAACTATGGTATTTGTCATGAGAATCTCCGGCATGTCATTTCTAATTTACTATTTTATGCATAAAACAGGCTAATAGATTCGAAAGAAATAGTGAGGGATCAAATTCGAAAGAAAAAAAAAATAGAGGCTGAATTCACAAAATGACAATAGTTGGAATCCAAAAGTGCACTTTTGAGTATAAAAAAATCTTAGCTGGAAGAGATGTCTTTTTTGGTACTTATTCATTCCTTTTAGTTATTAGAGAAGTTTGAACTCTTTTAGAACCTTGCTTTCAGTTTCGAGGAGCAGCAACAGCACCAATGAGGATGATCAAAGAAGCACTCTGCAAAGTATCTGGAAATATGTGACATGCCTATTTGAATTTCACATGGTAATAGTAGTAATAGTAAATAATTTTGATTAAACAACTTTGTAACTGTAGAACATTAATTTGCTTCCTAACAAGTATGTTTGTCTTGTTGTGTGAACCTCGATTTTGGCTATTGTACGGATAAGCTGACTTGTTAGAGATACTAGAACGCCATTCTGTACTTTAATTTCCTGTAATTTTTAAATCATTTCAGCCAATCTGTTAGTATGCATCTGCATCATTTTGTTTGCTGTTACTGCCAGCAGTATAGAACTGTTTCCTTGCATTTAGAAAGTGAATGTAAAGTTTCAATGTGGTCAACATGGTACTTGAAAATCTTTCTATAGATTTTAATTTTTTTATACAGTTTTTATAGATTTTAATTACATCCTTGTGATGTGGAACAAATGTAAAGTTTAGATTTCCAACTTGGAACTGATTCCTGGTTTGCCACTAGAATGTGTCTGCCATTTAAATATTTGTTTATAATAATAGTAAATTCATAATAATAATAATAATAGACTATTCAAACATTTCTTCACATCAACTAATTAATTCAAATGAAATGCAATTTAGATTTAAATCTTATAAATGAAAAAATGTGATTTGAAAGAAAGACTTTATTAAAAATGAAAGTTAAATTTTTATATAAAAAAAATTACTTATATTGGTTGAATATTTTGCAAATATAATTTTAAAATAGAGACTATGCAAACATTTGTCTCTTTGATCCATTAGGTGTGGATTTGCTTTCATATTGTGAATTACACCCTTATAATTCTTTATAGTGGCATCAATTTGTTTATTTATAATATCTGCTTACTGTATTCCTGGGGTGCAATCCTTAATTGCTATCTATAATATTATTTAACGTGTAAATCATGATTATCTTTTTTCTTTTCAAATTTCTAAATCATTGAAGATAGAAACCCTACTCAATTAATTTGCGTGCCACCTCTACTTTGAATGCCATAGTGTATATTTTAAAAGATGTTCATATCTGAATCATATGCTATATACTTATACTTTGGTCTCATCCTTTAGATACTTTCTGGATCCTTTCCATAAACCATATGATCTTATTCTATTTTCTCAACCACAAAAAAAATATAGGTAACGGCGGCATATCTCAACCTTTGGCAAGTAAGATTGGTTAATCATAAATTCACAACTACGATCTCTGTGTATGATGAAAATATTTATTATTAATTGTGTATTTTATTTGCACAGTTGGCCATCACATAAATAAACAAGTACTTTTTCCCCCTAAAAAACTGAACTTATTTATTTAGAATAGCGTATACGACCAAATGCCAAAATAACGAATTAATCATTGTGATCACACTTCCCATGAAGACACAAAACTAATGGAGGAAGAAAAAAAACACAAGTATAGTTGAAAAGAAGCAAATAAATTAAATACTTTAGGTTCCATATCATATTAATTAGTGTGATGGCCAAGGAAGAGAATTAAATAATTATAACTAATGTATGATTAATCGGTGTGGTGAAGCATGTGATATGACTAGCTACAAATCAAAATGCAATCCTGTACTTGTAAGCATTCCATCAAGAGAAAAGTTTATTAGGAAAAGGAAAAGTTACCCAAGTATGTTCATTAAAGATGCTGCATATAAACATGGTAATGATTATGAAGAGTTTATCTTGAGATCATGTAGGTGTCATTTGGAAATTGAAAAGAGAGAAAATTAATAGGGAACTTTTTATTATTATTCTTTTTACAAAGGAAACAAAAATGAAAAAAAAAAAAAAAAAAACATGTAGTTATAATAAACTACGAGTTTTTTAATTAACAATTTCATCTTTTACTTTTTTTTTCTTTGGATCATTTGTCTGCATCAACTTTATCAGAAGGATAGAGCCCGTATGCAAGCTCATACAATAGAAGTCACAGTTCATTTTGGTCCTTAGGTTTATCTGTTTAGTTTTCTTTTTACTCCACAAAATGTAACTCAGTACTTCTTGGTCATGGTAAAACCCACGAAAAATTTTAAATATGCATGCTAAGGAAGGTTATCTCGTTCATTTTTGTTTATTACTTGAGTAGCATAAAAGAAGCATTTTGTGTCTATATATAAAAAAATTAGTCATTAATATAATAAGTTTTTTTGAGTAACTGTAATTGTAAGGATAATTTTTTAAGAATAGTAGAGAGAGAAAAAGTAGTTTGAGAGATGGTCCTAAAGACAAATGGTCAAAAATTGCATACAGCAAAAAGGATAATTTTTTTTATTAATAATATAGATTAATCTCGTGTTGTTCAGCGGTAGGGGTTGATCCACGCTTAAGCAAGGTTAGGGGTTCGAATTCTGCCTTGTGTATGCAGCCGCGTTAAATCTTGGGGCCAGCTATCCCACCTTTTGAGGTGCCTCCCTCGTAACGAGGAGATTAGTCACTGCTGTCGGCCCTGGATACTCCAGGGACAAAAATAATTGGTTTAGACTATTTTAATTAATGAGTTTGTTTTACTGTAAATCTAAACAAAATTAATTATAATGGATCAAAGTTCTCAAATTTATGTTTATTTCATCTTGAACTAACCTGATAACTTGATCAATAGTTTTATAAGTTTAGATAATTACATTTTAAACTTTGGTTCTGAATTTTTTTTTTTTGACCATGGGAATCGAACATAGTATAAAATGAGCTTTACAACCTTTACACACCCTATTCAACCAATTGATTCTTCTATTATTTTTGTTTTTTTTTTCTTTATTCACTTTTATATAGTTTTATTGTATGTCTTAACTTGATCATAGTAATTATATAATTTTTCTTCTCATATTTTGAGTAGAAATAAAATTAAAAAAATATAATATTTATGGTTTTATTGTAATCTAACAATCTGAACTAACCTAATCTTAATAGAATTGATTCAGATTAGCCAAAATAATTTCCAAAATTCTAACTAAACGGACCGAAATAAATTTGATTAATTTAGATTGATTGTATTTATCCTAAACTCAGACCATTCCAACCGATAAATACTGCTATTAAAAGCTACCAGATAGTCCACGTAGTTGCTGGTGGGAACAAACTTACAACTAAAATCTAGCAAAATAGTTAGTGTGTGTTTCGGAAAGATCCGATAATTATATTATTTTAATAATTAATTATATAAATAATCCACCATTGTTATAATTGATTATAATTAAAATAAAATTTATTGATAATCGATTTTAAGATGTTTAGCTTCTTTCATATACAACCAAACAAACAATTAGTTTTTATGTAATAAATCAGATTAAAAAGAGAAATGAATGTGGAAAAATAATCACAAATTTCAAATTTTTAAATTTTCATTTTTCAGGAAAAAAAAAACTGTTCGCAAATTTAAGCTGTTGTTACAAACATACAATTTAGTTTACCATTTTTTTTTTCTCAAAAGAAAAAAAAAATTACTAAAATGTTGCATTATAAGTTTTCCAAACATGCTCTAAATACTAAATAGGGTCCTTTATTTCTACTTACTGTAGGTTTTCGATAAAATGGAGGCGATTTTAAAATGTTACCACAATATTGTCTTAGATGTATATGTATGTATATATGTTTTTAACATTACTATTATTGTTTGCTCAATAAATGCTATCCACATCCAACTAAAGAACAGAACACGTTATTTCCAGTTGGAGATTCCAACTATAAAGTTTCATACAATCAACACCCGATCAAATTTTTCTAACTCGTCTAAACCTTACACTATTTTGTTCTATATCACTAAAAAAAAAAAGGGAAAATTTTCAAACATGCACATTTGAAGAGCAACAAAGTATTTCTGTCTATTTATTTTATATACCAGTTTCACAAATAAGAGCACCATAAATGCAACTCACAGCAGCCTGATTAGATACAAGTTTTAAAGAACTTTCAATTATTTTTTAATAAAAAAAATTTTGAAAATTTTTCTAAACTTGGATCTAATCAGACTCAGATTATTATTATTTATGATGAATTGATTTTCACTTTTGTAACCATTTACAGTTGAGACTTGATCCCTGCAAAATCCTTAACTGTGTACCCCACCTTTTCAAACCTTCCTTTCTGATTGTTCTCTCTGAATTTCAGGTAATTTGAGCACACAAATGGATTGTACGTCCTCTTGTTTCCTTCTCCAACAACTTCATTTGGTGCCAGCACCACCTTCTCATCCTCAAAGCACCAAAAGAAAGCCAAGGAAAATCTATTCACAGGCTGCTTCAGAACAACTCTATGCTCAGAAGACCTTAACTTATCATTGCTCCAAGCTTGCATCATGTCCCCTATGTTCACCACTAGGGTCCCCTCAGAAGGGCTTATGTCTATCCACTTTCCTTCATGTGATCTCACTTGAAGCCCTCCTATTTCATCTTGATACAAGATTGTGATACAACTCATATCAGTGTGCATTCCAAGCCCCTCAACTTGATCCTCCAAACTTTCTGGAGCAGAATAGTTGTTTATCCTCAAGTAGCCATGACACTTGCTAAATTCAGAATCATAAAACAGCTTCTCAAAGCCATCCTCTAAGCTCATCAACACAAGCTTTAGAATTTTCTCAGATAAGTATGCCATCTTACTACAATATTCCTGGAGTGTCTCACTGTTCAAAACATAAAAAGATAAACAAGCTTATGATTTGGTTAAATAAAAGTAGAAGGATAAATTAGGGTCTGTTTGGATAAATTTCTCAAAAAGTACTTCTACAAGAAAAAATAGAAAGAAAAAAAATTAAAATAAGTTTATGCATAAGTTAAAACTAGCTTATGCACAAGATAAACATAGGATTTTGGAGAAGCTAATAGAAGAGAATTTCTACAAATTAACTTATACATAAGCTAATTTTACATTATAGAAAAGCTTATTTTATTTTTCCTTCAAATTTTTCTCTTCTATAAGTGTTTCTGAAGAATTTTATCCAAACAAATCCTTAGGCTTCCTTCATGGAATAGCAATGTGCTTATACATTACCTGAATTTGTAATTCTGTTTGTCAAAGAGAATGTCTTCAGAACTCTTGGCTGAAACATAGAAGTCTGGTCCATTAATTCTGAGGCTCTCAAAGAATGGAGAAGCAATGAAGTGAGGGGTGTAGGACTTTATAGAGGAGAAAGGACCAAGTTTAAGTTTAGCCTCAGAAGGGAGGCTGAAGAGGATTTTGGATAAATAATGCATCTGGCTGCAAAGATCTTTGGAGATTCCATGATTGATTATGTGGAAAAATCCCCAATCTTTGCAAGCTTTAGAGAGAGAGGCTAGAGAAGATGGCTGTAATGGCTGAGAAATGTCTAAAATAGGAAGCTCAACATATTCAGGCTTAGACATTATGTCTTAAGATGTGAAGAAGAGATATGGTATGCTGCCACCAAGGTTTTGGGATATTTAATATATATGTAGAAGTTTGGTCAGAAGCTTTAAATCAGAAGACAGGTATAAGACAGAGTATAGATAAGACAAGTCTATTATTTTTATCAATCAAGTGGAGAAGTGCCAACAAAGATATAGAGCATAAAGCTAAAGCAGAACTAACTTGTTGGTGCTTTGCGTAGAGTCATTAGGATATAAAAATAGAGTAAATAGTTCATGCTCAGATAATATAACAAGTTTTTATAATATCTTTCAATCACAAATTATAAATATGCTAAGTGTGTTGACTTTTACACTAACTATCTTAAAAGTTATATTTATCCTAATTTTCGATTAATTTACTGTATAAATTAAATCGATCTTGCATAGAAATTAAATTCTATAAAAGAGTGATTCTTGGAAATTAATGATTGGCTTAAACTGAATGATAATCTGCTAACATATGTGTCTATGACCATGACCTATTGAAAAGGCTATAAATAAAAGGCGATCTACAAAGATACCAATTCTGTCGCTAAAAGTGGATACACTTTTTCTCACCCTCTTGTGAAAGATATTACTTCACGTAGTTAGCACAAATAAAAAGATGGGTATAATTCGGATATAAAAGGGAGGGAAAAATTGCTCAAAAGAAAACAAGAATTGTGTGGCAGAAAGACTAACGCAAGATGAAGATGTTGAACATACTTTTTTCATTATTTTTTCCCACTTCCTAATTATAATATGCCTTCAGAGTCAGCAAGACAGGCTGGTAAGGAAGCATCTCAACCACAATGAGTTTGTACATTCCGTTATGAATGGAACTCTCTTTCTTCTGTGAAAAGATTTGACTAAATACTTGGTCAAAATATGCATCTAGAATAAATGCTTAAGCAAAGAAAGCATATTTGTCAAAGTACAAACCATATAGACGCTTTTAGCGGCTCTACAATATGTCAAATTCAGATATGAATACATTAGTGTGTTCACAAGAGCTGCATGCATATGCCATGGCCTTAGGAACTATTAACAATTATGCATGGAAACATAATTCTGTACACATGATGGATGCACAGACACTAATAAAATGATGCATAAAGTTTGATGTTTTTATAGTTTTCCTAAAGAATCATCTTATAGTTTAAGTGTCTACAGATGATTTTTTTTATAATATTTGTTAAGCATGGACACCAAACAAAAAGATGCACTGTATCTACAGTTACAAACATGTCCTGGCATGTGACTCATGATAAATGTTTAACTATTATTATAAAATACACTTTATATCTAAAGGTATGGAACTAATTATGTTCATTTTCATACATTCCTACACTCATAAGTTGTGCGTCAGAGTGCTTGTGCTGATGTTTGCAGGTTCTACATTTCACTTAGGGTCGTTTTTGCTTACCAGAACCTTGTCGATTGCTAGAAACATCAAGCACATTTTGAGATACCAAATTTCTCTGCTCAAAATATACATATTTTGAGTTTTGACATGATAAAATGTAAAGCATTCATATATTTTTCTGAAGAATAATATTATAGTTTGTCTGAAATGTCAAAAGATGGATATTTTCTCAATATTTGTGCTTCCAAACCAGGCTTTTGGTTACTCAAGATTGGTGCAGAAAGACATTCTATGATTTCCAAAACCAGAAAACAATGAGACAAAGTGATTTGTAGGACTTGATATAGTATTGACTTAGGAAGAAAGATGGGTCGTTGAATGATGATGGTATTCAAACATGGTAAGATATAGAGAATCTTGGCATTAGATTGCAGTGGATTTATTATGATTACACTGTATCATTCATATCCAAAAGGGTGCTTTTGATTTGCTCTTACTATTAACGTGTTTCCTATGGATTGGATTAGACACTTTTGGATCCAATTAAATGCTTCCAGCAACCCCTCGTGGCTAAAAGTGATCCCTTGGGACAAACCCATTTAGAATTGTCTCCATTATAACAACAAAGTGGGAAATCTTTCTTGTGGAGAAAAGTATTTAATTTTAATTTGTTTAAAATTAATGTTAACTGTTAAGAATCATACACCATCAATAAAATCCTCTCTTTTTACTCTTAAAAAAATATTTTTTTGATAAAATAAACAGTTTTTTTTAATGTTTGTATATTACTTGTTTAAAAAAAAAACTATTTTTTAAGTATATCCTTCTGCTTCTTAGAGAATTGTTTATTCAAAAACACTTTTTTCAGAGTTTTTTTTTCATTTTAAACAAACTAGCCTATTATAAGATGCTATTGCTTTTCTCAAAATGGCAAATAAAAATATTTAGTTAGTACGTTTAATGAAAAAAAAAGTTGGTAATAAATTAACAGTATTTAGTTGCAATAATGGACTAACTTAATCTTATCGTTATCATTCGTAACACTTTTGAAGTGTGCTTTATTTAACTATTACGATGAGGTTAATCTTAGACCAACACATGTAAAAAAACCCAATTGAAAAACAAAAATTAAACTCTACCATCTACAATGTTTTTTCATAGATTCAACTTTTCTAATCATACCAGAACTACAAATTCACTATCGAAGTGCTACATAAAAAAAATGCAATTATGTTATGATGAAAAATGTAAGATAAAGTAGTAAGAATGTGTGATGTATGTCTATAAGGACTCTTTTTATTACATATAGTTACTGTTACGTCTACTAGTTGGTAAATGGTAATGAAGTATAAGATGACAAGTTCAAAAAGAAAAAAACAAATAGTAAGAACTCATGCTGGAACCCGGGTGAAAAATTTGTTCATGCATCAGGTTGACATATTGAATTAACTAATTTAACATTAGTACTAAGAGGAGTTATTACTGTTCATGTTAGTAATGGTACATTCCACAATTTATCAATACAAAAGTAAACATGATAGGTTACCACATGTAGCAGCAAGCACTACTTATTACTGGTCACCACGTACACCTGTATCAAGTAAAGCTCGACTTATATGCAGAAATTGTTCACTTTCGTTCAACTACCATCTGATTTAAAATAGATGGAACTTTTGTGTCAGAAAAACTCGTGTAAAGAGTCTGGTTCACAAAGCAAGGTAGTTTGTTCAGATGAGGTCATAAAGTTGTCTCTATTGAAGATCGAAGCCTATCTACTCATTTGTCTATCCCGTAGAAGGAGGGAAGAAAAGTTTCTAAAGGTTATACAATCTACCAAAATCATTAAATGGTGGTCCAGTAGAGCCTACTCACTACAGAGAGGTTAAATTAGAAGGTTCAAATGGTGGCTAAGCAGAACCTGCATTACATTTATGTTAGTATCACAAGTAAACATCATACCAAGTTCTTTTTTTTTTTTTTTTTCAGAAATACTAACAACACATTCTTTAATACACTTCTTTTAACACCTTTTTTGTTATTCCTTGAAATTTATTGAAAATCATTATAAAAAAAAATTGTAAGCCACATCTCTTAATGAGTCTCACTCCTTATTTTATAGTTTCTAATAAATTTTAACCAATAGTAAAAAGTGCATTAAAAAAAGTATGAAAGAGAGTGTTTTACTAGTACTTATCTTTGCTTTTTTTTTTTGGGGGATATGGGCATCATCATCCTGAAATGAACTAAAACAGGGAATTACTATAAGATCAAAAAATTCTTACTTTTGGCCCAAAACATAGAACAATAAAAATAAGAGAGTAAGAAAAAAGCAATTAATAAGGACCGAAGAAGAAGCAAATAGTGCTTTATTAAGCTTTGATCGAAAGAAATATTTTATGGAGAAGTCTTTTTGATCACCATATGACCTGAGTCATCTACATCAAACAGGCGTCCAACAAATTCATTCCAACTTTGTGTTCGTTTCTTTTTATGAGACAAGGAGGAACCTTGGCCACTTGATCTTCCAGAATCCTCCCCAACATCTATTTCATGAAATGTTCCATATGATGAAGGTGAATATGCTTGTGGAATATCCAAAGCAACTGCCCTCTGAAGGGCTGCATGGTACTCTTCACTGTGTTCTCGAGCTATAGATTCATGCCTCTCCATCTTCTGCTCTGCTGGAAATTCCATATGCTCATCTTTGTCTCGCATTAACTGATGCAACCAAATATAATGGTTTAAAATTTAAATGACAGACATTACTGTGTCAACCTAGATACATGAGTATGCACAGGAGTACACATAAAATACCATACATCAAGGCTTAGCCCATGTTTGGTAGGGATTAATTCTGGGGAAATATTCGATTGTTTTTCAAAAATTCTATCCGAAAGCTGACAAAAATAAGCAATTATTTCTCTAAAATAAGAGTGAACTAAATATACACTTGGTGTACAAAGAATTCAATTTACAAAAAGAATTTAATGAACTGCAGAATGCAGTCACCAGTATCTATAGAAACACACCCCATACTAACAAAAGAGATGGTTCTTACTTAAAGGTTGGGGAAGAACAAGATGGGATACTTCAAGAATGACATCACTGAAACATATACGATGTGATTTTCTAAAATTTCTTAATCAACGGATACATGTCATAATATTAGAATGCATATGGTATCATAAAAATCTAAATAGTAAATGTGACTCAGTCCTGAGCAGCATCAAAATATCTCTATAAATTAAGGTAAAAAACTTCAAATATAACTAGCAAATTTTCTTCCATTGTATGGATACTTTTCAATTTAAGCAAAAATTATAAATAAAATCACATTAAAGAGATAGAATTAAATATTTTCATTATTAATAACTAGAACTCAATTTTATTAAATAGGATTAAATTAAAAAGATAAAACTTTTAAAATTGAGGAATAAATTACAGAAATAAAGTATTTGAATAAAGATATTGCATCTTTGTTGATACAACATATCAAAAATTAAAATTTAAAAATCAAATTAAAACTAAAATTTACTAAGATAATAATAATAATATAAAATTTAATTTATATAAAACATGAAAGATATCTTCAATTTGATATAGAATATCAAGAATCAAAATTTAAAATTTAAATTGGAAATCAAACTCAAGCTCAAATTAAGCAATATTGTTTGCAAGGAATAAAAAATAAAAGGCTAAGTTGCACTTTTGATCTCCTATAATATCAAATACGCAATTTTGGTCTTCTAATTTTTAATTCCACAATTTTAGCCCATCAATTTTATAAAATCCACAATTTTGGTTCCCTTCATCCATTGATCATTAAAATTGTAACATTGGTTATGTCTAACATTTGGTAGATGACAATAATTAATATTTAATAATATTTAGATTAAATTGAATTTTTAGTTCTTATTTTATTTTATTTTCAACTCATTTTATCACTTTTATGAGATTAAAATGAGAACTAATAATGAAATTTAGCCTAAATATTATTTGTCATGTTAGATCATGGCTAATGTTACAATTTTAATGATCAACAGATAAATATTCAACGAAGAAACCAAAATGGCAGATTTTATAAAGTTAAGGGACTAAAATTGCAAATTTGATATTATAAGAGTATCAAAAGTGTAATTTAGTCAAAAAATAAAAATAAAAAAAATAGGACTTTTAACTTTGCCTATGGCCTCACAATTGACCCCATGTAAAGGAGGAAGGTGCGCTAGGTCCTCGAAAGCTTATGTGAAACTTATTGAAACCCCAACAATGAATCACTCATGATAGATTGTGTGTTGACGTTAGGTCACTACCTAAAAGTAACATGCTACATGGCTTGAATATAATGTTAAATGAGGTAAAGTTGTTGCATCGGAGCAAATGTAGTATTAAATGAGGAAGCATTCTCACATTTATGGACAAATGTGGGCAAATAAGCAAGTCTAGGAATGTCGGTACATTGACAAGTCTTTGGAGGTGGTGGACACCATGATTCGGTGAAGGATTAACATCATGTTTCTTCAAGAAACTAAATGGATTGGAGAAAAAACTAAGGAGCTAAACATTACAGAATTTAAACTTTGGTATGTAGGGA